TTATAGTTGCGAGCCATATTTGGGGATTCCTGTGTATCTGTTCATTTCTCAATAGATTACAACTGTATTTTATAAGGGCATATGCTAAAACAGTGGTTCTCAATCTCTTTATGTGATGCACTCGTCAGAGTTTTATTTAACAACCGAGTCTCAAACACCCGTCTACTCGAGCAATTTAACGTGAATACAGATACATTATACAATTTAAAAAGAAAACACTTGGAATCCTATACTTGAAAATTTATCGCCGGAAATTTGATCGAACGGAAATTTTGATCGAATCTTTTTTTCCGTTCACACGTTAATATTTTGCGTCTAATTTCTTTTTGAACGCATTATTTTGTTTGACTATATAGTAGAGTGCGTTCAAAAAAGAAATTTAACGAAAATTTTAACGCGTGAACCGAAGAAAAGATTTGACCAAAATTTCCGTTCGATCAAATGTCCGGCGATCAATTTTCCGTCGACGAAATTTATTTCGATCAAATTTCCGGTAACCGTTATATATAGAGAGAACAAGTCGGACCCCTGGCAACACCCCCCATTTGAGAAACAGTGTGCTAACGTAAGTTCGTTTCGACCGTAGAATGTTGCGTGTGGCTCTTGAAGACCATAGACTGCTAGGATAGCAACAGCTGCATTATTAGAGAGTATTGGAAATAACGTAGTGTACTTACCTGACAAATTACAAGTGTTTTTTTTTTTTAATTTAAATTTTATTTTAGTCGCAATAACCTTGAGGAAAGTTGGCGGGATTCCCCTGGGGATTCCTTGATTGGATGACATCATAAAAAGTGACCTATTCATTGGAGGTGAAAAAAGACTTGTCTTGTTGTTTGTCAAACTAAATGTGTAAGTTAAATTTACTTGATTTCTCAGCGGTGCACAAGATTCAAGAGTATGTAAATACAGTTGAAGTATAAAAAATTGAATGTGTTAATCCGATGCTGTTTGGTATATGAGTTGAACGTGTAGGTAACATACGCAACTGGTGTAAATTATTTTGACCCCCCCCCCCACCTCCACCACCAAAAAAATCATAAATAAATTTAAATAATCATAATATTAAATATATATACAGATTTGTTAGGCGGGGCGAAAAATAAGTCCTACACACATACATATTCTCAATATCTTTCATACGATGTTTTGTTGTTGAATTTTTTAAAGAATTATCTTGTTCAGGCCTGCATAACATACGGCCCGCGGGGCCGCATGTGGCCCGCCAGCACCCACTTTGTGACCCGCAAGGTAATGAAAAACTCTTTATTCTTATTATTTTCTTAATAGATCCCCCCCCCCCAACCTATTTTATTTGGGCCCGCACAAGACCTGTCTTATTTTCTTTTGGCCCCCCACAAGTTTTTCATAATGTATTACGGCCCGCCTCACATTTTGAGTTGTGCGGGCCTGATCATGTTTATCATCAGCAATTTGGCTGTATCGGGACCTCTATGACTCCTTCGACTCATTCACTCCACCAAATATATAGTTTTTCTTTTTTTTTTTTTTTTTTTTTTTTTTTTTTTAAAATTATTTATTTTTTTTTTTTTTTTTTTTTTTTAACAAATGATCAAGTTGTGTTTTTATTTCCAATAAGTTAAGGACAGGGGCGTATTCAGATCGCTGGCGTAGGAACGGTGGGGCGGGGAGGGTCCACCCTGGGTGACATTTTATTTTCTATCTATTGATTGACGGTATTTTCATCCAACTGCAGAGTTTCTGATTGGGGGGGGGGAAGGGGTGGAGTCGGTAAAAATCTTAGTCCGCCCTTAGCGGCATTTTATTTAGCTACGCCACTGATTCAGATTCAATCGTCGTTTGCTGAACTTGAAACGTGAAATCGACGCAGGTTTCGGATCAAAACCTCAGCAAAACAAACAAACAAACAAACAACGTGTTCGTGGTGGATTCCTTGTATTATTTCCACTTTGCCTCAAGCTGAAAATCAGCAGGTGTTTTTATACCGACTACCTTGACGGGCCTCGCGCCACAAGCGATTAAAATAATGCTTCCAGGCTCTTACAAGACATTCGATGTTGACTTTGTGTAGTCGTGCCATCGTCTGTCGGGTGTTCAGGTGCGTGTGTGTTGGGGGGGGGGGGAAGCAGGGGGGGAAGGGTTGATTAATGTCGTCTGTTTTAGAGGACGGTGGTCGACATATTTTGAGAATCCCAGAATCTCAACATATCACTTTCCCTGGATTAACCAGCACCACCCCCCTCTCCCCCTTTTTTTTTCAACGCCTCCGCGGGCTGGCATACAAGGTCAGGTGACAACTGTTAGACAAAAGACGGTCCCGGGAGAGGGGGGGGGGTAGGGATTGTTAATGAATTGTCCTGTCACCTTCGCTTAACGCTTTAATAAATAGTCAACGAAAAACAATATGTTAAATCTCTTTTGTCTTCTCTCTCCTTCTCCAAGCACCCCTCGATACATCCTCACATTTCTCTCCTCTGCTCTCTCTCTCTCTCTCTCTCCTTCTGTCTATCGCTCTCTTTACTCGGTATTCTTCTCTTTTCCTTTCTAACCGCCTCTCTTAAGCGATGTGATAATTAGGTGCTCCACGCTGAAGTCCTCCTGTCTGGGCTAAGCTTCTATGATTGGAACAGGAGACGTAAGTCATTTTTGTCCCTTCGCTTGCGTGCGTTTATCATTGAAAAGATTTATTTTTTTTAAACACACATTAGTACTTTGAATTTGTACATGGTTTGCATAGCTAGCAATGATATCACCAAGCTAGTGGACTGGAGTGCAATCCCCCCAGCAAAAAGCATAGACAAGCAAATATACCAACAGCGCCCCGGGGGGTGGATGGGACTCGTTCAAACTTTGATGGGAACTCGTCTAAGAGAAGGCAAACGGTGACATCAAACCTCGGAGATGGAGTACCGTCGGCGGCATGACATTGTCTCAATGAAAAATTCCGGCAACTCCTGTGACGTGGATCGCACGAAGAGTACAGTAAACGCACACAGACACACACACACAAACTGCTGTTCATCTTCTGCATCCTGGTCTATTTACGGATGTATTGACTAAGTCCTGTCATTGGATCAAATAAAATAGGCAAAGACGAGCGAGTGAGGCTGACAACTTTCCCTGCCTTTAACCAAAATCCAGCTCTCAAGTCAAGGACCGCTCATGTCAAGGTCATCTTCGCGTGCGAAGGACAACAATAATACCACCGAATATGACATATTATACCCCCCTCCCCCAATCATTTCACTAAGCAATTTATATTTCCATTGAATACGACAGACAGTGGCGTGGTAAAGAGGGGTGGAGGGGGCGGTCCGACCCGGCCAGGACTTCAGTCACATGAAGATTTGTTATAGGTGGGATTGGGGCGGCAAAAGGGTTTGTGACTATTGTCCCTTGGGCGGCACTAGCACTATTCCTAGCTACGCCACTGACGACAAACCCATCATGGCACCATTGACTACCATATATCTAATGTTACCTCCATTACACCACTGACTACCATATACCTAATATTACCTCCATTACACCACTGACTACCATATACCTAATGTTACCTCCATTACACCACTGACTACACAATATCCTTACGCTTATTTATCCAATGTTGTGATCCATGATGGCGACTGCTGTCCTTGGTTGCGTTCAGTTAGCGACGGTGTCCTTGAAGAGAGCGCTGCTACCTGAGGTGAAGGTCACAGCTGACGGAGCAGCTAAAAATAACCCTCACGTACCACGCTAAATTATTGTTTTTGATTTCATGTCTTTTTTACCTTTCCTGTGACGTAGTGGTGTGCACCTGGAGCCGGGCTCGCGAGGCAGTGGGTAGGGGAGAGAGGGGAGGCGGCCAAAACAGAGGGTAAAACACGGAACAATTTGTGCTGGAGACTTGCAGCTTCATATATATTGAAAATTCCGGTTCAAGGATCGTTTTCCCGATAACCCAACTGTGGTGCATTAGAACTGAACTCGCGAACCACGACCACCGCCAAACCTGAAACTCAGCTCCAACCACGACCACGCCAACTGCAACGCTGAGGATTTTTTGCCGAATATCATTTGTAACAGATGGTGGAGATTTGCACAAAAGTAAAACCGCATCGGGCACTGGGGGGGCTGAGTCCCTGGGCACTGGGGGGATGAGTCCCTGGGCACTGGGGTGCTGAGTCCCTGGGCACTGGGGTGCTGAGTCCCTGGGCACTGGGGTGCTGAGGCCCTGGATACTGGGGTGCTGAGTCCCTAGGCACTGGGATGCTGAGTCCCTGGGCACTGGGGTGCTGAGTCCCCACGTCCCAATCCTTAAACAAACCACCACCACCCGGCAGAGGCGTAGCGTGGTGGGGCAGGGGGGACAGATGTCCCCGGGCGCCAGCTAGTTAGGGGCGCCAAAATGTGCTTTGATATTATTTTATTGATGAAAATAATGAGTTTGAGAGTTGAAAAAAAGAAAAAGGGGCGCTAAAAATGGATCTTGTCCCCGGGCGCGAATCTTGTCCCCGGGCGCCAAACACCCTCGCTACGCCACTGATGGAGATAGAAGATTGCTGACTGGGAAACAGTTGATTCTCCATAAAAACCAATCCAAGAAGTTTTTCTATTAACATTTCTAGCAGAATGACATGATCATCGCTATGGCAACAATTGTTAAGATGATGAATTATTTTGAGTTTGGTGTCAATAAAACATCTGACCCTCCCTGAAAACATTTTATTTTGTTTTAAGTCAGGTCTGCCATTGGGGTTTGAGTGTAAACCTTTTGATTGGGTTTTCTTACTTATTACTATTTATGAACTCATGGATGGAGAATAAGCTCTAATCTCCTTTAATGAAAACATGGTTAAACTTAATGTTAAACTTAAACACACAGTTGCAAGCCAATTCTTAGCATTTTAATGATATAAGTGCTTTCATATTTCATTATTTTATATTGCATACTTTATTTGATAAAACTGTTAACTTAATTTGACACTATGTAAACTTTCATTATTAAATATGACCTTAAGAGGTGTCTAGTTTGTATGTTATATTTTTTATGTCATTTTTCAGACGTAGATGAATGTGCAAACAAAGAAATGCATGGGTGCGACGGCAATGCTATGTGTGTCAATGAAAAACCTGGCTATAAATGCAATTGTCATATTGGAAGTAAGCTGGACAACACTGGACGCTCTTGCAGAAGTAAGTTAACACTGTTTAACATTTAAAAATCCAGTTCTCTACCTACATTCACCTCAAGCTCCCCTAGTATATAATTTCCTTTATCAGTAGACATATCTTTAAGAATTTAGGCTATCTTTATTAGAGTATGAAATTTTTGACAAAAAATAAGTATAATATTTATTTTTTAATAAAAAGTGTTTGATGTAAGACTTCAATTGGTTTGGAGGTATTCTCAACCTGACAGAAATTTAGCTGCCTTGCTCCTGTTTACTTAATTTATTAAGTCCCATTGGTGTAGTATTTTATCTTTTTGCTAAATGACCAAGTAGGGCTTTTCAGTGACCTTGTAGGGCTTTTCAATGACCTAGTAGGGCTTTTCAATTTGACCTTGTAGGGCTAAATGTGACCTGGCAGGGCTTCTCAATGACCTAGTAGGGCTTTTCAATGACTTTGTAGGGCTTCAACGTGACCTAGTAGGACTTCTCAATATCTTGCTGTTTTCTTGACTGCTGAAGTAAAGGAGATTGAATATTCTGTTTCATTTGTTAGCCTGTCCCAATGATTCATGGGGCATAGACTGTAACATGAGTTGTGCTTGTTCTACTGCTGCGGCCTCACGGTGCGACCCTGTCAGTGGATGTGTCTGTAACCCAGGATATACTGGTAAGATGTGTGTGTGTAACTGTACGCAAAGTATGAGACATCTGAGCACGTATGAGATCGCATACAAACTTAAATGTGTGTTCGAAGCATAAGACAATGCAAAACTGATGTTCATGTACAAGTATAAGGCAGTATGCAGTGTTAAATATGAATATGTTTTATTTATGTTTTTTTATGTTAAGTATTGTATGTGCCACTCTACAATAAAACCAGACCCATCTATCTCATTTATCAGGGACTCATTGTGAGGCAAATATAAATCAGTGTTTAAACAAGACTTGTGGAGCCCATGCTGAATGCATAGACCAACCTGGCATTGATGCCTGTCAGTGTATGCCTGGCTACAGAAACATAAACACATCATCAGAAAGTAGTCTGCAATGTCAAGGTGAGATTCTCTTAATAAACCCATCAAATGTAGTTTTGTGAATGCAGAGCATTTTACATCTGAAAGAGTTATTGACTTTTGTACCAATGAGTATTATTAATGATGGATTAGGCTATGGTACAGTTGTCTTGTTTATGCCTATGGTACAGTTGTCTTGTTTAGGCCTATGCTACAGTTGTCTTGTTTAGGCCTATGCTACAGTTGTCTTGTTTAGGCCTATGCTACAGTTGTCTTGTTTAGGCCTATGGTACAGTTGTCTTCCTTAGGCCTATGCTACAGTTGTCTTCTTCAGGCCTATGCAACAGTTGACTATTTTTAGGCCTGTGCTACATTTGTCTTCCTTAGGCCTATGCTACAGTTGTCTTCTTTTAATTTATTCAATTATCATTTTTTACTATTTAACTTAAATTCTTTCATGTTCTGACATGGAGCAATAATCAGAGCTTCCTTTATGTCTAAATTAACACTATAAATAATTATAATTAAAGTCATTCTGTCATTAATAAAAAAATCCGCAGTAATTTCTTCTGACCCTTAATTAGGTAGTAAACCCTATTTGTCACGAATGTGTGCTGAATACATAACAACTTATAAGATGCAGTCTTTTGAATGGCTGTCTTCCAAAATTTTTCATCAAGAAACTTTTTATTAACTTAGTTTAGAAATTGACAGAAAGCTTTTTTTTTTCAATTTTTTTTTTTTTAGTTTAACTGGAGCATGATAACACTTTAAATATAAGACATGTTTTTACTCGCAGATATTGATGAATGCGCAGAGACTTCATTGAATGACTGTGACCAAAAGTGCAATAATGTTGATGGTGGCTACAATTGCACGTGCTATGCAGGATATCACTATGACTCAACATTGAGAAAATGCGTCGGTAAGAATGAAAAGTATATTGAAATAGAGCGTTTGCTCTCTAAGAACTAGTCTGAAATGTTATAAAGATTCAGTGGGAAAAGTAACCCCATAAAGAAAATACATGTCTAAAACTATGGGAAAGATGTAATAATTTTCTGTTCCAAAGTCCAGCAAGAATAGTATGCATTAATTATTTTAACCTTTGATGAATTATGGAAATGTTAACATACAGATTGTATAATATACTAGTATAGAGTGCACTTTTTTACCATAATGTAAGTCTTTATTTTAAGGGCATACAGAATGTTGATAAGATTCAATTAAGATTAAATAAAAATGCTGGTAAATGTGAACTGTCAGTAGTGGTTAGGGCTTATAATTGTAAGTGGCCTGACTCTGAACAATATTTTAATTTAATCAATGTCAGAGACATAGGAAAAAAATTATTCAAGCATGATAAATACAGAACAGGATTTTTTTAAAATTTGAATATATGTGGTAAGTTAGGGTTCCAATGACTTAACTAAATTGTATTTTTATTCCCTCCCCTTGTATCTTTCATGTCCTCCCCTTGTAGTTTTTATGTCTTTCCCTGTTTTTTTTCATTGCCTCCCTTTATTTTTTTCATGTCCTCCCCTTGTAGTTTTCATGCCCTCCCCTTGTAGTTTTCTATTCCTATGTGATTCCATGTTATTATTTTTTTCAAAACTGATTTCACAGAGGTTTACTCTTAATATAGAATATCCATGAAGATTAATTTTCCATTTTAAATCCAATTATTAGTATGTCAATGATTCAAACAAATGGTTTCAATTTTTTATTTAGCGGGGGCTGTCCAAGTGTTAGCGACTTAACTTAACAGTAAAATTTTTACAACTTTTTCCCCAGATATCAATGAATGTGAATTCAAAACTTCCAAATGTTCACATATTTGTAACAACAAAGAGGGGAATTATAGCTGTGACTGTCCGCCTGGTTTCAGACTTGATCAAGATGGCCATACTTGTAAAGGTAAAGTTTTTCAGAACTTTTTAGTTTTCGACCGGAATTTATCAAATTTATACTGATAATCAATCCTACATGATGACATTTTTTTTCTAAAAAAAAACATAATTAAATTAAAATTAAAAAGTCAAATATGAAATGTGCAAAAGCATATCTGGCAACTCATAGAAAAATGTCCAGAAACCTGGCTCTCCTAAAAGTTCTTAGTGACTTGGCTCTTGCAAATGATAATCAGACTAAGTGATTCTGACTTCGCAACAATTTAACCACAACTGCAATTTTATTTAAGATTCAGCCTTTAAAGAGAGCTCATTTACTAATCGTGTTTGTTAAAATCCTTGTGTATGACACATGAACACATTTTCAACATAGCTGTTATGAAAATACTGTATTTGTTGTTAGGGAAAAGCTTTTTAACATTTTCTTATACTGTTATACAGTTTTTACTTAGAAAAAAATTTAATTTGATCTTAAATTCTTTCCAACTGAAGTATATTGTGCGAACATGTTCAAAAGTCAGAAATAAGAGTAATAAGATAAGATAAGATTCTTTTATTGATCCAAATAAATGGAAATTTTTTTTGATTGCATTATACATTTTCAGCACATAAATAAAACAATTTGAACACAAGATATTTATAATAAATTATTTCAAACAGCCATTCAGTGAGTTCTCTTAGCCGAATCGGGGACTTATTAGTTCTCATTAAGATGTGTGACTTCAGAGGGAGCACGCTGGTAAATTTGTACAGATTGGGGAACAAAAGAATTTTTATATCTTTCAGTCCTCGCCCTGATGGAAAGAATTCGCCCCGAACGGCCTGATCCTAAGTATTTGTGATGAAGAGGTTGGGATGCATCATCCAAAATGTGTTTAGTTTTACAAATTACTACAGTAAAAAATCTAAGCATCTTATCTTTAATGCATTAAATCACAGGAACCTCACAGAAGATTGTGACGATAACATTGGACTATACGGTCACAGAAAATGTTGATTGGAACAACCAGACAAGTAAAAAATACACAGAGCTTAAAACTGCAACAGAGCAACTAGTGAGTTCAAAAATAGACTGTATCATACATCATCAACATCCAGATCAAACACCTTTTATATTAGTATCGCTAACCTCAGAGCAAACATTTTAAGACCATTCCATTATTTTTGTTTTACCATTTCAGCTTTACAATGTTTTAACAAGAGTCATGAAAGATTTGGTTTCGGTTACTGTTACAAAAATGTGGTAAGTTAGATTTTAAGGTCGTAATTGCTTATTTAGCTCATAAAATTTGCCTTTTTAAATCTAAAAAATTAGTTACTGGTGCATAATTATGCAAAGGGTTGTTTTAATATTCCTTGGGATACCATTTAAACTAATTAAAGTGCAAATTAAAATGCCTCAAATTCTCTGACCATATTTATTTATTTTTATATTATAATTTTTATTTTTTTAATCTGAATATTTTAAAGCTTTGATTTATAAAAATAATATTTTACTTTGGGATAGATGCCAACCTGTGGGATCCAAAAATTGTCAAAAAAATTGTTTAAAAACTACCCCAAAAAAATTTCAAATTTTACAACAGCATCAAGAACTATAGAGTAAAAAATGAAAACTCAAAAAAGTATAATTTATAATTTTTAAATAATTTTTTCTCTTTGACTGAATAAATAGAAAATTAATTATATTCCCTCGCTGCATGCACATTTTTACAATATTAACATCATTCTTAAATGGAAAGAAAATGAAAATAGCTTGTTTTTCAGTCTGATTTTCATCAATTATTTAGTTTTTTTACACCAGTCAAGAGCAGTTTGTAAAAAATGTACTCGGAGTATATCAATTTAAGTGTAATTAGACATAATCATTGGGTTAATTATGCTAGCTGTAGTAATACAGATTCCTATATTTAAATTAACAAAGTAATATATGGTCAACTCTGTCTTGACGTTGTTACTGAGTTCATTTTACAGTGAACATTTCACCTCATTCTTCACTGAATTGGAGGAAAATGTCGCGAGGACAGACATTTTTTTGTGTTAACTCTAAGCTCTATGTGGGTATAATATGAATTTTCCTACTGGAGTAAAAGAATAAGTACAAAAATATAATATAATATTAATATAGGCTACAACTGTGGCTGATTTTGGCTCTTATTGATGTGTAAGTTAAATAAGAAAGAAGATCACACCCGATTTTACTTTTAGAAAAAGTAACATTAAGTTAAGCTATGCCATAGGAATAATCTAATGCTAGTCGTTGGTAGTAATATTAAATAAATTTTATTATTTAATAAAAATTAAATGAGCACTTCATTAACACTTAAGTTCATGTAATGAATTATACAAAGGGGTTCGTAATTGTTTTTTTTTTACTCATAGTAGTCATTACCCTACTATACTTTCTTAGTTTTAATGACTAATGACTAAACCATATTCAGTTTCTAAAGATGGCCAATGAGATTTAAGCTTCCTTTTATCCAACTTTGAATTTATTGCATTTCCAGTTTAAATGTGTGTCTTGGTGTTTTGGGCAATAATATTTCTTTTCTAAATGCAGTGAAAAATTGTACAAAAGCCTGTATGGCCATACACATCTGCAAATGTATAAAAGCCATACAAAGTATGGGTACCATACTGGTTGACATGTATGCTTTGGTTCATCAAAAAAAAAAATTGTTACAGGTCAGGAAGTCTCCATGTGGACACTGACCTACTGGTGTCAGGAACCAACTCTGCAAGTTCAATAGCACAGGGTCTGACGGCGTTATATAAAGCTAGAGACCTTGCCTTGCTAGATCAACATGTTACTGTGACAAATGTAACAGTTGGAGGTCAGCCTTGTGAGTATTTATATCACTATTTAAAGGTACTTGACTCAATTCTTTTCATTCTTTTCATCCATTTTGTTTATCCTTTTTATAATGAGCCCAAATGTTTTTAACTTACACAGTGGTTCTAACTTAATTTCCAGAGTCCTCTTGTCGCTATTAGATCTAAGATTTAAGATCAAGAAAGTTTCTCCGCTGCTGGAGTTCCATAAATCTTTATTCAGTCATTTTTATGGGGTACGACTGTAGGAAAAAACAATTTTTGGAGAGAAAAAAGCAAATGAGTTGGTACTTCTTTAATACCATTTGTGGTTGTCATGGTTTGGCTGAGTAAACATGGGTTGTTTAATGAAATCATGAATTGAAAGGAAAGAAGTTATTTAGATTAAAAGAATACATTTTTTTAAAAACATGATATTATTGGGTCTGTTTTAATTACCCTACTCGTTTTATCGGAAATGAGTTAAGAAACGGCAAACATGACTTTGGAACCAACCCTCCCCATTGAAAAAAGGAGGTGGTGTCCTTTGGCAAGCTTCGCTACTTTACACAAATGTGTATGTACCCTAAAGGTTTATGCACGATAATTGAATACAAATAATTAAAAACAACTAATTTTGTAATCTTCAGTCCATTTAAATGGATCTTTGTGCCAGAGAAGAGAGGAAATAGAGAAATGCTTGGATGGACAGGTCTGTGAAGAGGAGGGTGGCACATGCAGGTTGGTAGTTGATGCTCTCCATTAATTGCACTCAAACACTTTGTTACACATAAATTAATTTGGCCAAATCAATGATTCCCAATGTTTTTGTCTCATAGAGGCCCTTGTTAGAACTAATTTTTATGAGGGAGCCAATTAACACTTAAACTATTTTCTTAGAAGTTAACAGTGTTAGTACTTTCCTGGGGTTGGCATGGAGCCCCTGAGAAGTGCACAGTTTGGGAATCACTGGCCTATATTCCAAAGTGGCTCCACTGTTGTCTGAGACATTGCAGTTGATAGATTGGCTAATCCTACTCACTTCAGAAACACTGTTGGCCTACTTATTGGTTGTGTAATCTAACTTTTCTTATTTTAAGTTCAGCCTCCAGTTATGAAAATGGCACGGTTTCCCCCGTGATTTTTACATTCTTAGAATTCCTTGATGTCTATAAATATCTCTTTGGAACAAAGGAAAAAAAAGAGAAACTCTAAAAGCTAAATGTAATACTTTTGTCCCAACACAATTTATTGTGTTGATGACATAGTTGGATTTCCTTTTGTTATATGGGTGTTTGTATTATTGATTAAGTTGACTGAATATATATCTATATACTGGTATATTTCTGTACAATTACATCAGAATTTCCTATTACTATTATGAAGTTAGTTGTCATATTTTGGAAAGTCATATTAATTTTCAAAGACTTGATTTGTTTAAAGAATATTTATTGATAGTCACAAATGATGAATTCTTTAAAAGTTAGCTTTAATATTAATGCATGTTAAGAAATGTGAATTAAATCTAATTGTTTTGCCATGATATTCTTAATTTGAGTCTAGATTTTAGTCTATATCTTTTTTAATTTATCTTATTAAATTATTTAAAATCTCTTACATATCATACATATAGTGATATTGAGACTGAAAATATGGGGGGGAGGGGGTAAAAAATCATTTAAAACATTTAAAAAAAGTAAAATTACAGAATTGAAACAATTTAATTGATTTGTTTTTTTCTCATACTCTTCATAGGGCACAGGCACCTGCAAAATCCAGTAAGTATCTTCATGCCGGCCATATTCTGCCATAATATAAAGAAATATTTATTTATTAAAATTAAAATGGATAGTAGTTACATTAAGGCCATAAATGATAAAAATAAAGCTGGCTTAAAATTTAAACCTCGGTACTCAAATGTTTGCTGTAAGTAAAACTGTGTTATCTGATGTTCTTCAGTTAATGATGATCTCAAATTTGGTCTGGCCGTGGGCATCCCATTGTTTGTTCTGCTGACCATGGCAGTCATCATTGGCCTGTGTATAGCAAAGAACAGGAGAGGTCAAGAACTGACCCATTCTCTGCACTCAGATGATGATGAGAGGTGAGTGCATTAATCCATTAAGGGTTTCCATTCCAAGTTAGGGCTTAGGTGGTCTAGCCGTACTGGCAATTCATCTTCACCAGATTTTTTGGGGTAATTTATGGATTATATGAAGATTGTTTTGACAGCCCCTCAAAAGTCTAAGGAATAAATGAATCCTTCCAAACTAAGTGATAGAGATGGTTTGTTATATTATTCTTGGTGACTGTCAGTAAGTGTGACATTGTCAGGAATGAGTGCCATCAAGACAACATGACGAAAAGATGGATGAGGATATTTTTTTGTGTGGAAACATCAAGTTTAACTGACGGCAAAGCAAAAAATGTCTTTTGTCTGTCTAATTCAATAAACAAAATCATTTAAGTGGTGTTAATGCTCAGAAATCTGGGTGAATTTTTTGAATAGCTTAAATATTTATTTTTTTTAAACAAAGACTTTGTGGATGTGCAGGTCTGATAAAAGCGTCTCTTTGAATGGCATGCTTCTGCCTGGAAATTTTGATATAAACTTTCAAATTTAATGGTTAGAGCTTAAAGTGTTCATTTGGAAACCTTTTGATTGGGTTTCTTGGGTTTCTAAATGAAAAAAAAAGAGGAAACCCTTATCGCTGTTGAAATGAAAGAGAAACTATAAGATAATAATCAAAATATTGAAACCTTTTTTTTTTAAATTTGATGCTCTTCATTGATTTGTGTAACTTAAATCAACCACAACACTAAACTCATTCATCAAAAGATTGATATTTTGATGCCTTAAAGTTTCAAGTTCTGAACCCTATTTTTGGGTCATGAAGTGCTAACGCCTCTAGTTTTATGTGAATGATGATATGGAATTTCCTAGTAGAAACGCACGTCAAGTGGGTTACAATTATTAAAAAAAAGGTTTGCTCTTCACTGTCTTGTTTTAGTTTTATACTTAAGTGATTTCTCTTTTTTATTTCACATCAGCCATATCCAAAGTACGTTTGCAAGAGGTTTAGCCAAACGAGGCACCTGGGATGGTAGGGACAGGCTCGGACTGTATCATCATGACGGCCTGTCTCTCGGCTCAAGTGGGAGGAGCTTGGACTGCGGCAGACCCCATGTTCAACAATTTGGAGATTTATCGTGGAGCAGCTCAAGGAATGAAAGGGACGCTGAAGGTGTGTCATGTCATATTTATAACCTTTTTATTGAAAATGGCAGCCAAGGGTGGTTCTATAATATTTTCTAAGCTAGGAAAGGGGTGATAAAGGTGTTACATAATCACAGAAACCCTGAAATATATTACACATGCACTGGAATCTATCCAAACATACCCAGGAATTTATCCACTCACTCCTGAAATATATCCACTGACATCCTGTAATATAGGCAGTCACATCCTAAAATACATCCACTCTCATCTTGAAACATATCTACTGACATCCTTGATTATATCCACTGACGCTTGAAAAATGGAAGGATTTTTAAATTTCAAATTTTGTTATAAATGAGGGACCAAAATTAAAATACATTTTTCTCAGATTTTCTACTATTCTAAATGTGCTTCAATTTATGACTTTCTTACAACGGTATTGTTTTATTAACTTTTTCAGCTCTGCCAAAGCAGGAACAAGGAAATTTCTCATGGGACTTTTTATATAAAATCTTGGAACCCAGTGGACAGGTAAACTAAAATGGATGTGTCATATATATATCTTAAAGAGTGAAGCCTTGTTTCAATGATTTGTAGTCTCATGCAAACAAAAAAAACCCACTTTCAACGTCCTTATTATTCTTTATGTTTTTGTTTCAGGACTTTAAAATCCAAAGACCCAAAATAACTCTGGTAAGTAGATGTTCTTTTCAAGCTCTTGACAACATAATAAACCCAGGAGTGGCGGCTGTTTTGGAGAGTTTCGATATGATGGAAAACAAAAGACAGTTTCATACGTCATGATGTCATCAAGCTGTTTTGCTCAATGGCATAAAAGCTAATTATTATTTGTAAATTAATATTTTTTTAATTCAGGACTTGAGAATTTTTCAGTCCATTTGTTTAAAATTTCGTTTTTTTTTAAAGCTAAACAAATAAAGAAAATAAATAAAAATTATAACAAATTTCCTAATTGTTTCTCTTTCAGGATCCCACTTCAGATATCTAAAGAGTCAACTTCCTGCTGCAGTTTTCTACATTTTTGCTGTTTCACCGGTAAATAAAAAAAAAACTTGTTAAAATTTTTTTAATATGGGAATCGTGCTTTTATATCAGTAATGGATAAGACTACCGATATTTTTCTTTTTATTCTTTTTTTTTTCATTAGCTTTCACCAACTATTTTGTTAGTCTGTTGAAAAAAAAAATGCACCAATCAAACTATATCTCAGGTAATCAGATATGTGAAAATTGTGGCTTTGTTTTTATTCTCATTATTCTATTCCTGTGATTGCTAGGTGATGTAAACAATTTTGAACAAAATAAAACTGTAATTAATATTGTATCTTAAATTTTAGGAAAGAATAATAGCAGATAAAAATTTGGGAGGAAAATAAAAGTACAGCCTTTTAAAACTAGCAAGTCTCCTTGCATTTGTAGACTGAACAATTATCAATTATAGTCACATTTTGAAGTGCAATAGTCTAAAAACTACAAGGCTCAGGCTTTTTCTTTAAAATTGTTACAATGTATTTTGGAAGACCAACAAGTTTCCATCAGTTTGTGAACTCATCCATCCCTTTGTGAATTTAATTAGTTGATTAATGTAAAAGTGTGTTTTATACTTTTAAAAAATAATTTACAAATATAATATAACCAAACAGAATTTCAGTGAACATTTCAATAGATGAATTGGGGGACTTTTATTCAAAATTTTTATTGAAGGTCCCTTGTATTTTTCTTTTACAAAAAAAGAAAACGTATGTCTTTCATAGTTTTTTTTCCATGTATGGCTGTTCTTAAATGTAGTATATATTTATCTAACTCTGTCAGTTTTGATGAATGGAAGTTTTTACATGTAATATTAAATTTGTAAACTGGTTATAGATGATTACAGCTATAAACCTTTCATCCTTGTACGATTATTTTCCTCAGCCGTTGTTTTGGTTGTAAAATGTATCTTTGTAAAACATTTCAGAAAAAAAAAGTTATTTTTAGTATTGGCAATGCTTAAGTTAAACATATATGTATTTATATATGTTTCTCTAAGAAGAGTACAGAGAAATGATTACTGGCTAAGAGAAAGTACACTTATTATTTTAGCTCATCAGTCGTCAATGAATTTCTTTAAAATGAAACTAATCACAAATATTTTTTTTTAAAATTTGTTGGTGTAAGTAAGCAAGAATGTGGGTACATAACATTTTTTTCACAAGTGAGTTACAGTCAAGATTTATAGCGTTGTGTCCGAATCAAAGATATGTGGATAATTAAAGTATTTTATTTTTGTACCATAATTCAAAATATTGATTTATGTTAGTTTTATAAAGCTGTTGATGATGCTGTCATGTTGACCATGTGCCTAACTTTGTCTTCCATAATTTTTTTTTTATTTCATAAAATTGTAATATTATTTTCATCCATAGCTTTACTGCATCCATTGTTGTACATTATCCATAGTTGGATTTCCTCTCCTTGTATTCCATCCATTTTTGCATTCCATCCATTGTATTCCAACCATTGTTCTTTTCAATCAATTGTTGTTTTCCAACCATTGTTGTATTCCAGCCATTGTTCTATTCATTCAATTGTTGTATTCCAACCATTGTTGTATTCCAACCATTGTTGTAATTCCTCTCCATGCTGGTCATGGATTAAAATATTTCAATTGTCTCATTGATATTTATTTTAAAAATAATGACCCTCCCCCCCCCCCCCCCCCCCCCAACCCAAAAAAACAAACAAAAAAATAAACCTCTCATAGGTATAGAAGTGAAAGTTTAAAATTGTTCAATGAAGTTTTCTCCAGTCAATTTTTCACACTTTTTTTGCCCTTGAGATAAAGGAGTAGGTAACTCTTGTGTAGTCTTATAGCAATAGTCTACACGTATGTACATTTACTTTTCTCATTTATTAATATTTCATATCTTGTTGGGAACAAAAGCATGTATTACAATATTTCATCAGTTTTTAAAATTCCATTGTTTTACACAAATGGAGAATATTTTTATCAATAAAATATGATACTAAAAAAAGATTTATTGAATTATTTTCACCATATTTTTGGCTTTAAAAATGTCAGCCCTAGTCATGATTATTTTTATTGATTTTTTAAATAGTTTTTATTTTCCAATCATCACTTTGACATAAATATTGAACGACCATCTTATACCCTCTTTCCATAGCCATAGTTTTTAACGTTAAAATTTAGCTTTAAATTTCTGTTTGAACGCATTATGTTTGTTTTACTATTTAGTATAGAGTATAGTGCGTTAAAAAAGAAATTTGACGAAAATTTTAACGTGTGAACTGAAAAAAGGATTCGACCAACTTTCCGTTAGATCAAATTACCGTCGATCAATTTACCGTCGAAGAAATTTCTTTCGATCAAATTTCCGGTAACCGTTGACCCGATCGACAACCTACGTGCTTTGAAAGTAATAAAAAAAATCAGAGTATTCAAATGCAAAATGGTTTATTGAATGTATTTATAAGAGGGAGAATACAATGACTGATATAAAAAAGTACAAAATAAATGCGATAAAGGTATAATAAACACCAACAGCGTTTATAGCGAAAGAAAATACTAAAAAATTTCTAGTCCACAACAACGTATAGAAGATATGGACTGTAGTTGTGTTAGCCCTTGAGCCAAGGACTGCAGTTGTGTTAGCCCTTGAGCCATGGACTGCAGTTGTGTTAGCCCTTGAGCCATGGACTGCAGTTGTGTTAGCCCTTGAGCCATGGACTGCAGTTGTGTTAGCCCTTACTCTAGCAACAACAAGCAGCGTGCAATTTTTTTGTTGTTATTATCTATTACACTGGTCGGATGCAGTATTAGTGTTGCCATTTGTCGGCGCAAAACTGCATTTTTCATTTTTCGGTTATAAAGTGATAACCGGGGTTATTGGTTACCACGCTTAATCCTAACGATCATGCACTCAAACTCAAGTCTCTAAAGATGTTCACTCAAACACAAAGTTGTCCCATGTGCTTGACTTCAATGAGTGAGATTTGTGTTCTGGTCGTCCACAATGTTAAAGGATAATTTAAAGAACTGGGAATTTTTTTTAATTTAATTTATTTTTTTTTGGTTGCTTTTTAAAAGAACTGAGTTCAGCCTATATTGAATGCATTTAAAATCCTCCCACTCTTCAGAATTTTCAAATGGTAGCTGATAGAAAATATAGCTTCATAGTAACTAACTCAGTGGGATGCGAGGGACTTTATTTCAAACGGGGAGCCCCAAGACCCTAAGACAGCGGTTCTCAACCTGTGGGTCGCGACCCCTTGGGGGGGGGTCGGACGACCTTTTACCAGGGGTCGCCTCAGACCATATGAAAACACATATGCTCTACATTTATGAAGTAGCAACGAAAATAATGTTGTGGCTGGTGGTCGCCACAGCATGAGGAACTGTTATAAAGGGACGCGACAGGTTGAGAACCACTGCCCAAAGACATTCACACAAACGGTTAATGTTGATATAAGCATTTGTAAAAAAAAAAAGTTTCCACCAGTTAGGGTTGTTATTTTTAATTGATCAACAAATCCACTTTTAAATTCACTCCACTGAAATTATTAATCGGATTGACGTTGATAACACATTTTCTGAAATTACGTATTACGGTCATTACAACAAGGATAAAGATTAATACAGTAAACATTCCAGCTATTCTTTGAACTCGAACATCACTGGGTCTCTTTGCCTGCAGCAGTTACGTTGATAATTTCCATGGTTACCGGGACGTCCTTCTCTTCAGGGTCAGCAACTACCTTCGTTTCCTGTTCAGAGTTGTCTCCTAAGGGCTCATCTGGGCAAAGCCTTGGATTCAAAAAAATTATTCTTTGAAATTTCAGATACGGTACAACGTGACCGAAGTCTACTTTTTTTTAAAATAGAAATTATGAACAGCCTCGCCTCCCCGGGGGTGGGGTAGGGATGATTCTTTTTGAGTTACGGCCCCGAATTAAAAAAATGGAGGCTGTTTTAAAATGATATAAATGCTCTTTTGCCAGAGCATCCTACCAGATGGTAGAAAAATGGGGAGGTGGGGAGAGAGGGGGGGAGCTTCCGCACAGTTGAATGTGAATGAGTGAGGGGGGGGGGGTGGAGAGGATTGGTAAAAAACCCCGAGAGGCGCTAAGCCTAGCTACTTCACTACTAGCCACCTCACCACTAGCCACCTCACCACTAGCCACCTCACCACTAGCCACCTCACCACTAGCCACCTCACCACTAGCCACCTCACCACTAGCCACCTCACCACTAGCCACCTCACCACTAGCCACCTCACCCCTAGCCACCTCACCCCTAGCCACCTCACCCCTAGCCTCCACTAGCCACCTCACCACTCGCCTCCTCACCACTAGCCACCTCACCACTAGCCACCTCACGACTAGCCACCTCACCACTAGCCACCTCACTACTAGCCACCTCACCACTAGCCACCTCACTACTAGCCACCTCACCACTAGCCACTTCACTACTAGCCACCTCACCACTAGCCACCTCACTGCTAGCCACTAGCCACCTCACTA